AGCCCAGGCTGGCCTCGAACTCCCAGAGATCCGCCTGCCTCTGCCTCCCGAGTGCTGGGATTAAAGGCGTGCGCCACCAACGCCCGGCTCTGCATGGGTTTTTTAAAGAGTTCCTGCTTCAGTCCTACCTGTAAGACTCTGCACTTGATACAACTTTTCTTCCTTAACAGTTGGCTGCCTACAGTGGAGGAAGGTGTGAGCCTTGGAATGGAATCTGACTTTATTTGATAATTGATTTCTTTCACTATTTATTGAGGGAGAGAAGAACCTTTGGGGCAGAAACAAAGAGCATGTCACCATTCTTGCGTTGGATAGGCCTCTTGCCCCATGGGTGGGTAGATGAGAAAAGTAATTACAGTGCAGTTGTTGCTGTGAGAGGCATACAGTGGGAAGGCACAAGAAAGGTTGAATAGGTCCACCCAGGAGAAGTTGAGGGACCTTTCAAGAGAAGTCACTTCCTCCGGAGCCTTGAAAGGTGAGCAGGGCTTCCTGGTTGTGAGAGCAACATGCACAAAGTCAAAGAACTTGAAAAAAAAAAAAAATGGGATCATCAGTAGATATTCCAAAATCCAGAGTTCTAATCCTAATTTAGGATTGTTTCTATGAAAACAGGTAATAAACTCTTACAGAAACTGAGTTTTGTGTTACAAATTTACATTTAAAGAAGATAAAGCATGTGTACTATATATATACCCATGGAACTCAGTGACTGAATCTTTATTCTGAGAGAGCTCATTAATCTTTAAATCCTTCAAATAAGCAAAGAAAATTTTTACTTAAATCTGAGGAAGTTTGCCCTAGCATTTCTTGAACTTTTGCGATTATATATTTAAAATAAGGTAAAAAAAAAAAATTTCAAGATCCAAAATATCACCTAAAGAGGTACCCTGGGGATTTGTGAGATTCTGTGGTGTGGAAATGAGAAGTAATCATGTGCAGCTGTCTTGGCTATTCAGGAAGAATCATCATGGCCAGGATGAGCTAACTGGGGGCCCTGCTTGTCTAAGTTCATGAGGGAATGGCTGAACCCATGCTCCTGTGAGCACAGAGCCAGTTCTCTTGGTTAAGCAATAACCCCACAGCTTGGCCTTTCTTTCACCTCCTTGGTCATCTGAAACCTTGCTTTTCTTGGAGACACCTCTGACTCCCTCAGGATCATGGAGATGAGGTCATGGCCTTTCTTTATGAAGTGCTAATTCCAGAAATGGCTCAGCACCCCAATCCTTGGACTGTGCCAGCTTGGTGCCATGTTGTCTCATCTCCTTTTTTTCCATGGTCTTGTTCTCTCCTGGTCCTTCACCTTGTTACCCATAAGCTCATTGTCCTCCTCCATCCTTAAGTGGCTTCTTGCCCTTTGTTATCATGTAGATAGCTGTCTGATCACAGACTTCCATCTAGTCTCTTTTCTAGCCACTTCTAGGCCACTGTTCTGATTTTTTTTTTTTATAATAAAACAGCTTTATTGGGGGAGGAATAAACAGAATATATAAGAAATGTCATGAATATAGGATCAATCCCAATTTTTCTCAACCTCCTTGGTAATACCTCTGTTCCCTTCTTCCCTACCTCAGCCCCAAGCACTAATACATTTTCACAAGATTTTCTAGATACGACACTAAGTAAAACCCATAAAAGAAAAAAACTGATGATTTGGATTGCTTCAAATCCACCGCTAGTCTGCCTTTGCCTTTTTAGAGTCTTCTTTAGATGGAATCAGGTAGCACTGTTCTTTTTTTTGTTTGTTTGGCATTTGCTTAGTTAGAGTTATTGTTGGTGGATGAAACACCATGACCAACTTGGGGAGAAAAGGGTTTGTCTGGCTTACATATCCTGAATCACTGAGGGAAGCCAAGGTAGGAACTCAAACTGGGCAGGAACGTGGAGGCAGGAGCTGATGTTTATTGGCTTGGTTCTCATGGCTTGCTCAGCTGTCTTTCTTACAGTACCCAAGACTCACCAGCTCAGGATGGTAACATCTATGGTGGGCTGGCCCCTCCCTCATCAATCACCAATTAGGAAAATCCTCTACAGGCTTGCCTACAACCTCAGGTTATGGAGGCATTTTCTCAATTGAGATTCCTTTCTCTCAAATGACAATAGCTTGTATCAAGTTAACATAAAACTAGCCACCACAGCATCTTTTCCGCTCTACTTGTTTTGAGATTCATCTGTATGCTATGTACTGAGTTCATTCCCTTTTATTTCTGAGTAGAATAGTATTCCATTGTATGGCTTTGCCATCATATTTTGATCCATTCTCTTGCTGATATAGTGTTCAGTTGATTCTCATATTTGGCTGTTATGCATAAAAACCTACTGTTAGACATTTGTGTACAGGTCTTTAGGTAGACATAAGCTTTCCTATCTCCTGTAGAGTACACTTAACTGGTAAACTGTTTTGCAGAGTAGCTATATCATTTTATGTCCTCAGCAGTGTCACAGTTCAGTTAATAGCAGATGTTATGGTCAGTGTTTAGTTTTTGGTTGTTCTATCTCATTGACTCATGGTGTTGAATGTCTTTTCAAGTGATTTATGTGCGTCTCTGGTAACATATATTTTATGTTTACCAAAGGCTACCCATTTAAAAGTTTCATTGTTTTATTTTCTTAATTTTTTTTTTTTTGGTTCCAGTATTTTGTATGGAAGTCTTATCAGATATATGCTTTGGAAATATTTTCTCTATATTTTATTGTAGTTTGAAGAACAATGTTTTTAACTTTGAAGAAGTCCAATTTGCCACTTTTATGGGTATACTTTTTATTGTCATATTTAGGAATCTTTAAAAATATTTTACTTAATATTCATACATGCATATAATGTGTTTGGATCAAAGCTACTCCTCATTCCCTTCCCTCCAGTTCCCCCCTTTTATCTGCCCAATCACTTTTCCCTCCAAACTTCCTATACTCTCTCTCTCTTAAAAAAAATATTGCTGAATCCTTTACTGCTTCCTGTAAGGGCATAGGTGTAGGCATACCATGCCCTGGAGCATGGCTTCTCAGGCCCACAGCCCTGAAGAGTTGACTCCCAGCCGCCCCAGCAGCCATCAGTTGCCACCTGCTCCTCAGATGGCCATGGGAATCTGTTATTAATAAAAAATCATAAAGATCTCCTGTGTTTGCTCATGTGCCGTGCACCCCCCCCCTCCCCAGTGCCCCCAGTCCCACTGTGTAGTCTGGCTGGGCTGGGATTCACAGAGATCCACCTGCTTCTGTCTCCCAAGTGCACCATCACACCTGGCCTATTTTCTTCTAGTCATTTTATGGTTATGTTTCACATTTAGGTCCTTGGTCCATTTTAAAACAATTTTTGATGAATTTTACTTCCTTCAGTGGACCGCTGTTCCTGTGTACTTGAGTGGATGTAGAAGTGCCAGAAAATTCTGTGTTCTTTCTCTGCTTGCCACTTGCTGTGGTCCTTGCAGATCAGCAGCCAGGGGATTTTTCTTTGTGCCCCCGACCTTGCCTGTGAAAGGACCAACTGATGGTGTGTGGTATTGCTCACTTCAGTGGTTTGAGACATGAGGCAGAGAACAAGTTTTTAAAGAAAAGAAAAAAAAAATAAAAATAGGAAAGAACTTTGCACAGTTAAAGTTCGATTAAAAACATCTGTGTGAACTTTTAGCTTGGAAAATATTTCTAAAGTATCTTTAAAAGATTGTCATTTGTGGCACTTGCTTCTAATCGCAGCACTCAGGAAGGAGAGTCAGGTGGATCTTGAGTTCAAGGCCAACCTGGTCTACATAGCAAGTTCCCTGCCCTCCTGAGCCACTGAGCTATCTCTCTAGCCCCCGGTTACTATATTTCAGAGATATTACACTATGAGATATGGCCAACATCTTAAAATACAAGTTTTTGGAAAGAGAAAGGAGCAACCGTACGTAGATGGATAATTCTGCTCTCAGAAGACATGACAGACCACACAAGACCCCAGTGTGTGGTGTGGAACCTCCTTGTAAATTGTTCCTCAGAGAGGGCCCAGAAGCCCCCGCCCCCAACAGCACAAGCCATAGTGCTGGGAGGTGCTGTGAGGATCCCTGAATAGAAAAGGGCTCAACAGTCTTCCCCAGCTTTGAACCCTGCAGACTGGAACGCTGACCTGTCACTCAGGATGTGCCCACTGTGTGCAGTTATCAACTGCTCCAGTTCACACGCACAGGGCACACTAGATAGAAGTCGGACCTGACAGTGCCTGTGTCTGGAATCTCAGTGCTCTTAGCGGGAGATAGGAGGCACTGTGAAAGCTACCCAACCAAGAGGAAGTTCCTGGCTCAGCTTCAGCTTGATTTCTCTATCTCTTGCATCCAAAAGCATGCGAAATCTTCAGTAATAGGGTCTTACCATCTAGTTCTGGTAGACAACCAAGAAGAATGGCAACAACTTGTGTTGTTTGGGGACCTCCAGTGCCTCTCATTTTATGAGATTTTTTTAATCTTTCTGGGCCTGGGTGACTGACCCACTCAGTCTAATTTTCTCCAGCTCCTCTCATTTACCTGCACATTTCATTTTTTTCTTTAAAACTGAATAAGATTCCATATATATATATGTCTTATTTTTGTTATCCACCCATCAGTTGATGGACATCTAGGCTGGTTCCATTTCTTAGCTATTGTGACTAGGACAGCAATGAGATGGATGAGCAAGTGTCTCTGTAATAGGAATGCCTGTCATTTGGACTTTTTAAAAAGACTTTTTAAGAGGCTCATACTCAAAGTACTACTATATTTAAAATTATCTTTTCTCCTGTGAGGTTGCTTGCCTTTGAAGGTCAGTCTTATATTTTTCAAAAGGCATGCATTTTTTTCCTTTCTTTTTTTTTTAACTTTTCATTTGTTGGTTTATTTATTTATTTATTTATCCATTCACTAATTTATTTCATTGAGTATACCATGGAAGGGGGCATGGGTTGTAGGGGAAAAGATGTCTTCCTATGTTGGGGTGATGAAGTTTCTTCTTTTGTACGTATAATTTGTGACTTGGGAAAGGAGGACAGTTGCAGTCAATCCAGACTGGCTGGTGTGTTGTTCCAGAGGTGGGTGGATCCAGCCTGGTCTATCTTTTTTTTCTTTCATTTTTTAAATTTATTCATTAAATTTAATTTTACATATCAGCCACAGATTCCCTTGTTCTCCCCCCCCCCCACCCCCGCCTTCCCCCCAGCCCACCCCCCATTCCCATCTCCTCCAGGGCAAAGACTC